CATTTTTCAAAAATTTTATTTTGTGCATGTGTGTGCATGTACATGCCCATGGAGGCCAGAAGAGGGTGTTGGATCCCTTGGAGCTGGAGTTACAGGCAGTTGTGAGGCAATTGATGTGGGTGCTGGGAACCAAACCCTGGACGTCTGGAAGAACAGCACGTGCTCTTAACTGCTGAGCCATCTCTCCAGATCCTTGTGTATGCTTTTGCTGTTTGAGTTCCTGAGGCTTGAATCCAGGGACTCCTGTCTGCTAAGGCAAGCATTCTACTATTAAGCTATACCCCCAACTCTCATTGATCAGTTTTGAAAGGGTTATCTCAAGCTGACTTAACATTTGAGACATGTATCTTAAAGCCATGAGACATTGCATTTTTCAACTATGTCCTGTAAATATCCCACAGAGCCACAAGTGGAGGCAGCAGTAATTCTCTGTATAACAATGAAGGGGAAGTCACCCTGTACTTCATTGGCTGGTCTAACAGAGACCAGCTAGAAGACAGAGGCATGTCACCTAGACCAGGTCATTTACTGTGGAAGGCATTTTCTTCTTCTCCCTTCTTCTTTCTTGTCTCTTTGCCTTATACACTTCCATCTCCTTGTGCTTTAAGGAGGGAGAACACCTATGAATGCTTATGAATGCTTGTAGATTTAGAGATAAAGATCCAGTGGACAGGAAGAAACTAAAAATGCTAGAGTGGCCAGGCCACACCCATCCCAGCACTTGGGTGGCAGAGGCTGACAGATCTCTGAGAGTTCCAGGCCAGTCTGGTCTACATAGTGAGCTCCAGGCCAGTTAAGGCTACAGGGAGACCCAGTCTCAAAAAAAAAAAAAAAGACCGAAAAAAGAAAATTCTAGAGTGAGGATAACTCATATAAAGAAACCTGAGTTCATATCCAAAAATAATTGTAAAGCAACTTTAGACATCATCATTTATTTTTCAAAAAGGTATTTTATGAGCTGGGCATGGTGGTGCACACCTTTAATCCCAGCACTCGGGTGGCAGAGGCAGGTGGATCTCTATGAGCTCAAGCCCAGCCTGGTCTACATAGTGAGTTCCAGGCCAGCTGGGGCTACTGGGAGATACTGTCTATAAAAGACCAAAAAAAAAGTATTTTATGGGTTGGAGAGATGGCTCAGCGGGTAAGAACACTAGTTGTTCTTGCAGAAGACCTGGGTTTGAATCCCAGAACTCACATGACAGCTAACAACTGTCCCTAACTCCAGTCCAGGGGATCCAACAGCCTCTTCTGACCTCCACTGGCATTGCACAACACGGGTGCACTTACCTACATGCAGGTAATACATGCATACCACAAAAAAATATTTTTTAAAGTATTTTATGGTCGGAAGAGTTGGCTCTGCGGTTAAGAGCACTGACTGCTCTTGTAGAGGACCCAGGTTCAATTCCCAGCACCCACATGGTGACTACGAACCATCCTTAACTCCAGTTCCAGGGGAATCCGAAGCCCTCTTCTGACCTCTGCGGCATTGTACAACATGGGTGTGCTCACATACATGCAGGCAATACACTCATACACATAAAAAATAAATAATTTTTTTTGGGTCTTTTTGAGACAGGGTCCCCCTGTAGCCCCAGCTGGCCCGGAACTCACTATGTGGACCAGGCTGGGCTTGAACTCACAGAGATCCACCTGCCTCTGCCTCCCAAGTGCTGGGACTAAAGGCATGCGCCACCACGCCTAGCTATAAATAAAATATTTTTTAAGTATTTTATTTATTTTTTTTGAAAAAATTTTAAAACTTTTTAATATTTTATTTTTTTTAATGTGTGTGCGTGTATTGCCTGCATGTAGGTAAGTGCACCCGTGTTGTGGAATGCCTGAGGAGGTCAGAAGAGGTTGTCGGAAGCCCTAGGGCTGGAGTTACAGACAGTTGTTAGCTGCCATGTGGGTGCTGGGATTTGAACCCGGGTCTTCTGCAAGAACAACTAGTGTTCTTACCTGCTGAGCCATCTCTCCAGCCCTTATTATTTTTATTTTACATGTATGAGTGTATTGCCTGCATGTGGGTAAGTGCACCAGTGTTGTGCAATGCCTACAGAGGTCAGAAGAGGGTGTCAGATTTCCCTGGAACTGGAGTTAGGGAGAGCTGTTAGTTGCCATGTGGGTGCTGGGAATTGAACCTGGGTCCTTTGTAAGAGTGGCTGGTGTTCAGTGTGCCCAACCACTGAGCCATCTCTTGGTCATTTCTTGGAAAAATATCAAAGGGAGAATTATATAAATTATTATAAGAAACCTTCTTGGGGCTGGAGAGATGGCTCAGCAGTTAAGAACACAGGCAGTTTCTTGCAGAGGACCCTGTTTCAGTTACCAGCACCCACATGGTGGCTGATGAGTGTCCTTAACTCCAGTTCCAGCAGATCCGCACCCTCTTCTGGCCTCTGCAGGCACTGCACACATATGGTGTACTGACATTCAGGCAAAACACTCATACACCTAAAATAAAATAAATAAATAAATTTTAAAAAAGAAAACTTAAAATCTTATACCTTATTTCTTTTCCTCTCCTTCAGTCTGCTAAGGAGATTTTGATTTTACTTGTTTGGTTTTCAAATTGTTTTACAACAGCAGAAGAGTAGGGGAAATTTCATTTCACTCAGTCCGCCAGAACAGTTTTTTGTTTTTTTTTTTCTTTTTGGTCTTTTTGAGACAGGGTCTCCTTGTAGCCACAGCTGTCCTGGAACTCACTTTATAGACCAGGTTGGCCTTGAACTCACAGAGATCCACCTGCCTCTGCATCCCAAGTGCTGGGATTAAAGGCGTGCGCCACCACGCCTGGCTCAGCCAGAATCGTTTTACTCTATCCCACACCTCTTCCCTACTCCAGACTATTCTTG